TTTTAAAAAATTTATCTGAGTGTAGCTCAGCATCCGCTGTTCCAATCAAAAAGTGCGCCATAGATTTTTTGTTCGAGACTCCCGGGTTAAGACTTTGGCGGTATTCCCGATCAATTATCTCGCAAATTTAATTTTTCGAAATTTTTTAAAAAATTTATCTGAGTGTAGCTCAGCATCCGCTGTACCAATAAAAAAGTGCGCCAAACATTTTTTGTTCGAGACTCCCGGGTTAAGACTTTGGCGGTATTCCCGATCAATTATGTCGCAAATTTAATTTTTCGAAATTTTTTAAAAAATTTATCTGAGTGTAGCTCAGCATCCGCTGAACCAATCAAGAAGTGCGCCATACATTTTTTGTTCGAGACTTCCGGGTTAAGACTTTGGCGGTATTCCCGATCTATTATCCCGCAAATTTAATTTTTAGAAATTTTTTAAAAAATTTATCTTAGTGTAGCTCAGCATCCGCTGTACCAATAAAAAAGTGCGCCATACATTTTTTGTTCGAGACTCCCGGGTTAAGATTTTGGCGGTATTCCCGATCAATTATCTCGCAAATTTAATTTTTCGAAATTTTTTAAAAAATTTATCTGAGTGTAGCTCAGCATCCGCTGGACCAATCAAAAAGTGCGCCATACATTTTTTGTTAGAGACTCCCGGGTTAAGACTTTGGCGGTATTCGCGATCAATTATCTCGCAAATTTAATTTTTCGAAATTTTTTAAAAAATTTATCTGAGTGTAGCTCAGCATCCGCTGAACCAATCAAGAAGTGCGCCATACATTTTTTGTTCGAGACTTCCGGGTTAAGACTTTGGCGGTATTCCCGATCTATTATCCCGCAAATTTAATTTTTAGAAATTTTTTAAAAAATTTATCTTAGTGTAGCTCAGCATCCACTGTACCAATAAAAAAGTGCGCCATACATTTTTTGTTCGAGACTCCCGGGTTAAGATTTTGGCGGTATTCCCGATCAATTATCTCGCAAATTTAATTTTTCGAAATTTTTTAAAAAATTTATCTGAGTGTAGCTCAGCATCCGCTGGACCAATCAAAAAGTGCGCCATACATTTTTTGTTAGAGACTCCCGGGTTAAGACTTTGGCGGTATTCCCGATCAATTATCTCGCAAATTTAATTTTTCGAAATTTTTTAAAAAATTTATCTGAGTGTAGCTCAGCATCCGCTGGACCAATCAAAAAGTGCGCCATAGATTTTTTGTTCGAGACTCCCGGGTTAAGACTTTGGCGGTATTCCCGATCAATTATCTCGCAAATTTAATTTTTCGAAATTTTTTAAAAAATTTATCTGAGTGTAGCTCAGCATCCGCTGGACCAATCAAAAAGTGCGCCATACATTTTTTGTTCGAGACTCCCGGGTTAAGACTTTGGCGGTATTCCCGATCAATTATCTCGCAAATTTAATTTTTCGAAATTTTTTAAAAAATTTATCTGAGTGTAGCTCAGCATCCGCTGTACCAATAAAAAAGTGCGCCATACATTTTTTGTTCGAGACTCCCGGGTTAAGACTTTGGCGGTATTCCCGATCAATTATCTCGCAAATTTAATTTTTCGAAATTTTTTCCCAGTTTTAGTGAGTGTAGCTCAGCATCCGCTGGACCAATCAAAAAGTGCGCGATACATTTTTTGTTCGAGACTCCCGGGTTAAGACTTTGGCGGTATTCCCGATCAATTATCTCGCAAATTTAATTTTTCGAAATTTTTTAAAAAATTTATCTGAGTGTAGCTCAGCATCCGCTGTACCAATAAAAAAGTGCGCCATACATTTTTTGTTCGAGACTCCCGGGTTAAGACTTTGGCGGTATTCCCGATCAATTATCTCGCAAATTTAATTTTTCGAAATTTTTTAAAAAATTTATCTGAGTGTAGCTCAGCATCCGCTGTACCAATAAAAAAGTGCGCCATACATTTTTTGTTCGAGACTCCCGGGTTAAGACTTTGGCGGTATTCCCGATCAATTATCTCGCAAATTTAATTTTTCGAAATTTTTAAAAAAATTTATCTAAGTGTAGCTCAGCATCCGCTGGACCAATCAAAAAGTGCGCCATAGATTTTTTGTTCGAGACTCCCGGGTTAAGACTTTGGCGGTATTCCCGATCAATTATCTCGCAAATTTAATTTTTCGAAATTTTTTAAAAAATTTATCTGAGTGTAGCTCAGCATCCGCTGGACCAATCAAAAAGTGCGCCATACATTTTTTGTTCGAGACTCCCGGGTTAAGACTTTGGCGGTATTCCCGATCAATTATCTCGCAAATTTAATTTTTCGAAATTTTTTAAAAAATTTATCTGAGTGTAGCTCAGCATCCGCTGTACCAATAAAAAAGTGCGCCATACATTTTTTGTTCGAGACTCCCGGGTTAAGACTTTGGCGGTATTCCCGATCAATTATCTCGCAAATTTAATTTTTCGAAATTTTTTAAAAAATTTATCTGAGTGTAGCTCAGCATCCGCTGTTCCAATCAAAAAGTGCGCCATAGATTTTTTGTTCGAGACTCCCGGGTTAAGACTTTGGCGGTATTCCCGATCAATTATCTCGCAAATTTAATTTTTCGAAATTTTTTAAAAAATTTATCTGAGTGTAGCTCAGCATCCGCTGTACCAATAAAAAAGTGCGCCATACATTTTTTGTTCGAGACTCCCGGGTTAAGACTTTGGCGGTATTCCCGATCAATTATCTCGCAAATTTAATTTTTCGAAATTTTTAAAAAAATTTATCTAAGTGTAGCTCAGCATCCGCTGGACCAATCAAAAAGTGCGCCATAGATTTTTTGTTCGAGACTCCCGGGTTAAGACTTTGGCGGTATTCCCGATCAATTATCTCGCAAATTTAATTTTTCGAAATTTTTTAAAAAATTTATCTGAGTATAGCTCAGCATCCGCTGTACCAATAAAAAAGTGCGCCATACATTTTTTGTTCGAGACTCCCGGGTTAAGACTTTGGCGGTATTCCCGATCAATTATCTCGCAAATTTAATTTTTCGAAATTTTTTAAAAAATTTATCTGAGTGTAGCTCAGCATCCGCTGGACCAATCAAAAAGTGCGCCATACATTTTTTGTTCGAGACTTCCGGGTTAAGACTTTGGCGGTATTCCCGATCAATTATTTCGCAAATTTAATTTTTCGAAATTTTTTAAAAAATTTATCTGAGTGTAGCTCAGCATCCGCTGGACCAATCAAAAAGTGCGCCATAGATTTTTTGTTCGAGACTCCCGGGTTAAGACTTTGGCGGTATTCCCGATCAATTATCTCGCAAATTTAATTTTTCGAAATTTTTTAAAAAATTTATCTGAGTGTAGCTCAGCATCCGCTGTACCAATAAAAAAGTGCGCCATACATTTTTTGTTCGAGACTCCCGGGTTAAGTCTTTGGCTGTATTCCCGATCAATTATCTCGCAAATTTAATTTTTCGAAATTTTTTCCCAGTTTTAGTGAGTGTAGCTCAGCATCCGCTGGACCAATTAAAAAGTGCGCTATACATTTTTTGTTCGAGACCTTTTGCTTAATTTTTTGGCATTATTTTTAAGTCATTATCTCGCAAATTTTATTTCCCGAAAATTTGGCGCACTTTTTGATTGGTCCACTTGGTGATTTTCCTTTTGTAACTGTATATGTATATAAAAAATAAAAAAAACTTTTCCTTCTAAATTTTATATTTATCAAATAATGCTTTCGAGAAAAGAAAACCTAACCTAAAAAGAATGTAAATCATAGTCTACAAAAACTACTCAGTCGGTAACTAAATTCAGTTTTATTCGAATAATTGTTAATAATCGCTTAGTTGAGAAATAATAAAGATATAAATAAAAGAAAATAAAATAATTAAAAAGGAGAAAAAAGTGTTTTTTATTTTACGATTTATTAATTTTTTCTCGTTAATTGTCATAATTTTTTATGAAAAAAATAATTGAGGAAAACATATCCCGAAGAAGTAAAAGAAAAAAGTTGGACCAACAGTTAAAAAAGAAAGAATAAAAAAAAGGTGCAGACTGCTTTTGGCACCCCTCGAAACACGCGACGTGACGCGTCACTCCCCGCGGAAATCAACGCCAATGCTGCTGATGGGGTGATTCGTTCACTGAAATATCCGGTACATTGTGTGAGATGGATGAAGTTGGCATTACTGGATACAAAAACTTAATCTGAAAAATTTAATTTTTTTTTTAAATTTGATTACAATTAAAAAGGCAACATAAAAAATATTTTTATTAATTTTTATATTTTATTTTTATATAAAAAAAAATTTTTTAATTTTGAAACTAAATTTACCTTTTTTTTAATTCATTTATTTTATTTATTTACCCGAATTCTTGTAATATTTTATTTTCAAATTTCAAATACATGATTTAATTTTGAAATCGTTTTTCAAAAAAAAAAAAAAAAAAACTGTTTTGTCGTTGTTTGACGTTATCTTTATCACTGTGACACATATTTAATTAAATAATATTTAACTATAATGAGGAAAATATGCATAAAAAAAATTTTATCCCATATAGTTTATGAAACCTACGTTTACAATTTGTAAAAGATTAAAATTTGTCAGTTAATTAAATTTAGTGTTAGGAAATATTTTCTCATATGGAGTGTAGGTCAGTAACTAAAAGATTCAAAGAGGATAAAATTGTTTTTGTTAGAATATTAAAAAAATTACTTATACGCGAAAGAAACAACAATTCTTATATATTAGAATAAAAAAAAAAATTTTCACAAATTTCTATTACTGAGAAAAATGGAAAAACGAATAAAGTAACTTTTACTATATACTTATAAAGTAAAAATGGAACTGTCCGCAGTTTCTAAGCATTTCTGTAGTAAAAAATTATTGCTAGAAATGCGCAGAAACTGCAGACAGTTCCGATTTTATTTTTAAAATATAGTAAAAAATTACTTTATTCGTTTTTCCATTTTTCTCCGTAATATATAAAAACATTGACAATTTTTCTTTTTTTTCAAAAATAACAATTAAATTTCTTTTTTATTTTATAGACAAAAAATGCCAACCATTGATATTAGTGAAATAAAAATTGTCGATGATAGTTTCAATAAAAATGATATTATCAATGACATAATAAAAAATCAAAATCAAGAAGATGCTTTTCATATTTTGGATGTTGGTGAAGTTGTATCAAGGCATAAATTATGGTTGGAGAAAATTCCTCGTGTTACACCTTATTTTGGTAAATTTTTTCCAATTTTACAATATCATTTCGAGAAAATAAATTTTTTCTATTTTATAAATTTAATTTATAATAATTTATGTTTTTTTATTATATTAATATAGTAGAAATAAAATATTAGATTATTTATAAATTATTTTATTTTTTTTTTTTTTAATTTTAGCCGTGAAATGTAATCCTAATCCAACTGTGATTAAAATTATAGCTGATATGAATGGAAATTTTGATTGTGCATCGAAGGTAATGTAATTTAAAAAAAAATTTTTTTAGCGTTCGTCCGTCCATTCGTCCGTTGTACGCTCGTGTACGGTTGCTATGGTAATAGTTACTATACCAACTGTTTCCATGGCAACCGTTACCATAGCAACTGTTTCCATGGGAACCGTTATCATAGCAGCTGTTACCATAGCAACCGTTTCCATAGTAACTATTTCCATAGCAACCGTTTCCATGACAACCGTTACCATAGCAACTGTTTCTATGGCAACCGTTATCATAGCAACTGTTATCATTACCATTTTTTACCTTAAGCAACGGTAATATTAATTAAAATTAAAATTTACCAATAAAATCTCTTACATTTTACAGAAAGAAATAACTGATGTTATGAAATATAACGTGTCCGGTGAACGTATTATTTTTGCTAATCCAATGAAAGCACAATCACAAATTAAATTTGCAAAAGAAGTTGGTGTTGATAAATTAACTGCCGATTGTGAATTCGAACTTTATAAGATAAAAGATTTGTTTCCAGAAGCAAAGTGAGTAAATAAAAAAGAAAAAAAATTTTTTTTGTCAAAATCAATAACAAATAAATGAATAAATTTTCTTTTTTTGTTTTTTTTTTAAGGATAGTTATTCGTATTCGTTGTGATTCAAAAGTTACGGAAAATAATCTTGGACAAAAATATGGATGTAATCCAAATGACGAAGTTTTTGAATTAATAAATTTGACAAAATCATTGAATTTAACTTTATATGGATTTAGCTTTCATGTTGGTAGTCCTTGTGGTGATTTAAATGCATATGATGAGGGTATAAAAATTGCTAAAAATTTAATCGATTATGCCAAATCAATTGGTTGTTATGATGCTTGTTTAATCGATATTGGTGGTGGATTTCCAGGCGAAAATGATTTTGACTTAGATAAGGTAAAAAAAAAAAAGAAACTATAATGTTTCATTAATAATTTAATTTAATAATGATAACGAAAATTTACAATAAAAGAACCTCTTTTTTTTTAAAAAAAAATTTTTTTATTTAAAAAAAAAAACAACAGATAGCAAATGTAATAAACAAATCAATCGAGAACATTGATCCATCAATAAAAATTATAAGTGAACCAGGAAGATATTATGTTACAGCAGCTTTTACTGCTGTTGCTCATTTAATTGGTAAAAAAATAATACAATCTGGTAATGATGAAATGAAAATGTATTACGTTAATGATGGAACTTTTGGTTCATTTATAGAAGAAATGTTGAACTTGAAACAACGTTATCCAATTTCCCTAAATGGGGTAAGTGCAACTTTTATGTTACGGACATAAAAAAATTTTATTTTTGTTTTATTCATGTTTTAAACAAAACTAATGAAATTAAAGCGAAAATTTTAGGGATTTCAAAGCATAAAAATTATACTATGTATATATATTAAAAATCTCTCTCTCTCTATATATATATATAATATATGTAAATTTTGCTATAATAAATTATAACTTTCAGACTGAAAATAATACAAAATTTCTTTCATCATTATGGGGACCAACATGTGATGCATTTGATTGTATATTAAAAAATGTTTTTTTACCTGATTTTAAAGTTAACGATTGGCTAATTTGGAACGATATGGGCGCTTATACCTTAGCGTGTGCAAGTAGTTTTAATGGCTTTCAAGGTCCTGAAATTTATCCATTTATTCGAAAAAAAGATCAGTGAGTATAATAATATTCTTTTTTTCTGCAATTTAACTAAAATCTTTCAAATATTTACTTTTTTTTCAACAGGTATACTTTGAAACAACTAATATCTATCGTCAATAACAAGAAAATAAATTCTCAATTTTAAATATCACACAAGGAATAAAATAGGAAGCAGACAATTAAAATTCGAGTAAAATCGTATATGTATATATTAATTATTGACTGCATTTCAAAACCATGACCTTTTTAAAAAAAAATAAATGATAAATGTTTTTAATATTTTATTATAATTGAAGAAAGAATATATTATCCGTGTTATAAAAAAAAAATTTATCTGGTTGGAATAACAATAGTTTATTCTATAATCTGCGACGAGATATTTATGTTTAAATAAAAAATTTTATTTTGTTACTTTGAATATAATATATATGTAATATTTTTAACCTTTTAAAAAAAGTAAAATTTGTAAAAATGAATAAATAAAATATTATATTTCTAATTTTTAATATTTTTTTTTCAACAAATAAATAAAGGAGATAAAAAGAAGCAGATTTTTTTCTTGACACATTTTCGACCCTTCTATAATATACAAGAAGAAATAGAAATGCTTTATATATATATAAGAGAGAGAATCGAAGAACGTTGGACAGAATGGGAGCGAGGTTGATAGGACATGGGGAAAGTAGAAACGTCCCTGGCGTCTCAAAGACGCTGACAACCCTCTTCTTATCTTTTCCGTCTTCTTGCACGTTTGGATTAAAAGCTTCCAGTCACCACTCGCTTTCACAGTATAAGCTCTCCTCACTTAAAATCTTCACTATATATTTTAATAATAGAAAGTAACTATAGAAATTCATTTATAAATTTTGTAAATTTTTTACATATTTTACGATTTTAATTGTATAGAAGAAAAATTTTTAAGAAATTTTTGCAATATAGTTCTTTGATTTAAAGAAACCAGTTTCTTTAACTTGTGCTTTCTTTCATTCAAAATAAAATTTTCTTTGAAAAAAAAAAGTTAATTAAAAACATTCATGTTTGTATAAAATATATTTTTTTCCTGTATGCATGGGTATGTTTTGAATCAAGAAATATTTCAATAAGGAAAAAAAAATTAAGTCTCAGGGATAATGTTAAAAAAAGGGTTTAATTTTATAAATATATTTTAATTAGATATAAATCTTAAAAATATAATAAAAAGATAAAAAATATTCTTCGCTCAATGATTTTTTAATTTCTAAAATAAAGTTGTAATTTTACTGTTAATTTTTTATATATTCATTTGAAAATTATGAAACGATACAATTTTTATGAAATACTTGCGGTGATATAATGTAACGCTTCTTTTCTCTATATATATAGCACTACAGTGAATATAGGTGTAAGTGTGATAAAACCTTTACATATATATTATACAAAGTCTTGAAAATGTGGGAAAATAATAATAGTTAATTTAATTTTTTTTTCCTTCATTATAAAATTTTTAATTAGCTCTTTTGAAAGAATAATTAAGAATTTATAACGTATACCACGATACCATTTCTTAATGATGAAAATATTTAAATAGAAAAAGTATACTAAATATATAACAGAATTATCATTTTCAAAAATGGAAATTTATTACAATTGTAAATTCGAATAAAACGTAAATCTTTAGATTTTATGAAATATTTTGCTTGATTTTTCACTAAATAGAGAAAAAAATTTGAGGTGTTGTGGTTACTTAAAATTAAGTCCCACACAACAATTCCGGATTGTCAATAGAGAACCATTTGTTTTTAGGACAAAAAAAATTTGTTATAATATGGGATTGTTATTAAAACTATTTGAATTGTTCGGCGAACAAACAGAATTGTTTGAAGAACAAAGAAAATTGTTATGGAACAGTTGAAATAACAAAACTAAATTGTTAAAAATCGGCAATACAATTTGTTGTATTAACAAAGCTTTGATTCGTTTAATACAATTTATTAAGTTTCTTTGCCTTCTAAAATAATCGATAGCAGATTTCCGTAAGTCATAACACCAGTTTCATTTGCATTAAAATCTGTGGAACATGCATAACTTCTGAATCGAATTCTTTGACCTGAAACCAAAAAAATTATTTTCCCTTGTTTGTTGTTAAATAATATTTAAATTTTGTATTTTTTAAGGTGAGGTTATATTGACAACAATCCAAAAATTGTTTGCACAACAATTCCATTTTTCTCCATAACATTTTGCAACAAATTTTAGTCCTGGTAGGTAAAAATATAACTATAATAGCTTTTAAATTTTCAAACTTAAAATTAGTAAAATAAAGCCTTAATTAAATCTCAGTGAATTGTCAAATAATTTTTGCTGATCGGAAGAAATATATCCGGGTATGTGCGCGGGAGAGAAAGAGAGAGAGAGAGAGAGAGAGAGAGAGAGAGAGAGAGAGAGAGAGAGAGAGAGAGAGAGAGAGAGAGATAGAGAGAGAGAAAATCAGTGCTGAATGACTTGCCGTTTTGTAAACGATACCGAGTGACTGAGTGTGAATTCAATTAAGGGCTCACTTTAAACATCTATCAAGTCTTGTTTAAGGATCATTCATTATTTGGATAACGAGATGAAAAATGTTAATTTCAAATTAGGTGCACAAGAAAGTGAATAAAGTCATTCGGTAGCAACTTCTGTATTCAAAATTTTAATTCTATTAAGTAATATATATTTTTTTTTTCATAAAACTATTTTTTTCCTATTCTTTTGAAAATATAAAGAAATTTTACTAACAAATGACATTGAATTATATAAATTTATAATCAATTTTTAAATTAACAAATAATTTTTTTCAAGAGAAATTTTCTACAAAAAAAAAAAAAAAAATCTTGTGAAACTTGTTATATATCAAAATTGAAAGCTGAACACGACTCTCTCTCTCTCTCACCATATATATACCAAATGCGCGGCAGCCATAAAGGAACATGAAAGCAGGGCGTTAGGATTGAATTCAGTCCAGCCTCTCTCCCTATAACTTCCAACGACCCTTCACCAATATGACTTCAGGGTACAGAAAACTGGGATGTGAACAAAATAGTTCGGGGCGTTTCTATATCATATTCTTAATAAATTGTATATGGTAGAATTTTTTCCATCTTTGATGAAAAATATATCTTTATTGAAATTCCGTTTCAAAGGAAGAAAAAAAAATTTCGTTCAGTATTTAAAATATTTAAAACAAAATACGAAAACTATTTTCTCTTAGAGAAAGAAAGAAAATAGAATATTATTTGTTAACAGAAGAGAAAAAAGAAATGTAACAAGATTAATTAATATTATAATAAAATAATAATGTGTTAAATTAAAACGTCTAAAGAGAGAAGAGAGAAGAATCATTTTGACATTGAGGATTAGATAAAAAAAAACTCGAGAGGGGTTTTTTTATTAATAATAATCCGCTAGTTGAAGTGTCTTTTATCAGAAATCCCTCTCTTTTAGAATTATAGGTCTGGTCAGTCTGTGGTTTATGGGATTAATTAAGGCACAAGAGTGTTAATGCTCGATTTCGTCAGTCTTGACAAGGATCTCTCTGACAATGAGTTTGGTAAGGGAGGGTCATTTCTACACATTATCCTCGCATTAAAATCCTTATAGCAATAATTGCAAAAATAGATATATAGAAATAAATATGTTTCTTTTAATTTATCTTAAAGATGTGCAAGAAATTATTTGATTTTTTAAAGAAAAATTTGCAATTTTCCTTTAGTAAGTGGTGTGAAAATTTTTTTTTTATTACGATTCGGTTTTCTAAAGATTGTTTTCTGCTGTTAACTGAAAAAAGAAAACAATAACTATATTAAATCTTTAGAAGTGTCTAAAAACTATATTAGAAAAAGAATAATTAATGTTAATTTTAATATTATTTTTCATTAAAATTATTCTGTTTTTACTAACCTGAATTTTTCTACCTCAGAAAAATTGTCCCCTTTTCTTCTATATATTGATAATTCTCGATCTTTCTGTAACTACGTTGATCTTGTCTCATCTGCAAAAAAAAAAACAAGCAACGATCTTTACTTCCCCTGCTGCATCTGAAACAGAATAAAAATTTAAATGTAATTATTTGCCATCTGAATGTTTAATCAATTCGAAATTTCGTTTGCCTAGGGTCGCACTTATAGATTCCGTACTACCATATTCCTCCCTTACAGTATACTGTAAGCCATTAATCTATCGGATAAACTAAAAATCTAAGAGAGTTTTATAAAACAGTGCCGCGCACTGTAGTCTCATTGCTATTCCACAAGGGATATAGAAGTAGAACGGTATAGTGCGGTCACAGCGGGGATCTACTAAATTGAAAACAAAATCCATCACGTTTTCAGAGGGCAAAAAGAATTTTAATGAATTATAAGCAGGCGGTAAGATTGGCAGGCAATCCCGATGGAATTAAGGTGGTGGCCCTCAGCGTTCCGATCAGTGTGCGCGGTGAATTTTCTTGCAAGAGTCCAGCGCGCGGATGGACCGAATCGAGAGAGGAAGATAGAGAGAAAGAGAAAGAAAAAGGTGGAGGGGAAAAAGAGTTGGTAAAGTGCGATGAGAATAAGGAAGGTGGTACTGGTTTACTAGGAGAGAGAGAGACTTGATGAGGAGAGAGATGCAGGGTGGGTGGGGGGAAGGTTTCCGAAACAGCTCGCCGCTATCTTGACTGATCCGATCAAGATTAATGAACACGCGGCTTGCCAGCCAAACCTTTTCACCGCCCAGCCGCTCTACACAGGGGCAGCAACCAAGCGACAGGTACTGTCGCTGGCTCTTCGTAATAATGCACTCCTCTGGCATCGTCTCGTTCCTGGTAGCTAATTCCAACAGCGCATGCAACATCCGGACGTAACTGTCACAGTATACATATAGTATATATATATATATAAATATAACAATATTCCGCACTCTTAAAGCAAAAATTTGTGACACACCTTTCCATAAGATTTCAATAACATAACCTGAATTTATATATTTTTATCCTGGAGAATGATTTTTAAATGAATCAAAAACAGTTGAAAGTAAGAAATTCAAATACAAATAAAATTTCTGCTTTTAGGTTATATCGTAAGAATATGATTCCATACTGATCATACACGGAAAAAATATGAATGGATATCATAACCATAAAAATATTGTTATTCATAATATGGCTGGCGCAACTTCAAGTATGGAAGAATTTACAAAAAAAAATGGTTGTGGGAACCATATAATATTTGTAAATTTGATATGAATGTACCAACCATATGTTTGGTTGTGTTTTCAATACCGCTATGGATTTTACTAGTTTGGATCTCCTATCCATTTTTAAATGGTTACGCTCGTTGATCTAAATAGATGTACGCGTTTGCGCGGTAATCAGACTCGGTCAGCTGGTCACATATTGCGTCATTCTATTTCGCGTACTAAAAGCGTGTTTGAAAGAAAAAAAGCAATTTTGGCTTAAATTAAATTATTTAAAATTGACTCTAAGTGGTTCGGGTTGGATATAAATAA